ATCGCAAAGTTATATTCAGAAAGAATAAACCAGTTTTATTAAGAAAGGACTTCTATCGGTAAAGTTTCTTCGGAAAGAATTTTTACGGAAAATTAACTAACGAACGGAGACGTAACAGTACTGTGGTGTATATTCTTTTAAATCTTATGATGTGCATCTAAATCATTTTTTGTTTCCCATACTAGTTAAAATATACAAGCACAGGTTTATTGCCAGGGGTACAAAAGGCTATGACTAAAGATTGTTTCAATCTTAATGGTCTGAAATACATTAAATAGGATTTAAAGGAATACTGTAATGTTATCAAAAAGATTCAAGTATTAAACTATGTTCATTATAATCTGTAATTCCACTGATGAAAAGCTATGAAAATAAGATATTACAATAGAAACTTTTGATTTCAGTAATCTTTACACTAATCTTCCTACTGATAAGATAAAAAAAAACAATTCCAAGGTTTTTAATACTTATAATTTATTGATGTTCTGTATCAATAAACACAGAGGTTTCTAGGACAGTGTTATTCTGGAAAATTACTCATGTTTCACATTAAACGAATTCTTGCAGGCCATATAATATTTACTTGTAATCAGGAAAGGATGTAGTGCTGCTGTGAATGTTATCGATATTTTCGGCCATAATCCCAATAATATTACGTATGGTTCGATTTGCTTAGGAGATTAGAACCATTTCCACACATACATGCTCACTAGGATAATAATTACAACAATAATAATATTCCTTACATTACATCCATCATTTTTGTCTCTATATTTATCATTTAGTGACTTCTTTAAAATAAATAAATTTCTTTATGCAAGCGAATAACTGTGTACGTAACTCTGAAACAATTATACTATTGATGCATACATCCACGTTAGAAATCACGAATTTTATAATAACCGTCTTCGTCATGAACAGACACAAAATTTCAAGATAAACTACTTACCATATGCCTGACAATTAGATCAGACCGGTTTTGACACCCATAACATGATAACATCATACCGATGTCAAACGGATTTGACGTGAGAATGCTGTACCAAACCAGATAAAAACTATTTCAACTGGTCCAAGCCGGTTTAGACCAGATCAAGCCGTATAAATATGAAGCTAACTTTGCAAATCTCTTACGGTGAATAACTTACGCTAAGAAATTTTTATTATACAATTTATAAAACTCTAAAAACAGTAATATTAATATAAAAACGATTTAAACATATAGTGTCATGTTAAAAACTCCCCATGTCCCTTTATTTACGTGATGAACTTCTCTAGGAAACTGTGAACAGCATGCATAAAACGTTACTGAATAATGAATGTCGACTATTTATCAATATTTGTCTATTTTCTTAAACAAACTGTCGGCCGCCTTTTTTAGGTTCAACTCTTTTGTTGTTTTTCACAATCACTTACATTAAAGCACGGTGTATATAGATATTATTTAGGGATGATACAAATGCCATCTCTACTATCTTGTTTGACTTGTTTTTGAAGGATTGATATTAACCATTAAGTTCAAGCTCGAAAACCATCTGACAATGAGGCAAATGAATGTTTACTATGGTTGGACATCAAAGTAGGTATGATTAAATATATAGATGTTGTTGTTTCTGTCCTGTCATTGAAAAACAGAATTATCAGTGTGGGGGCTAACAAAATTTGGACAGGTCAAGTAAAAAACAATATATCTTTCTCTCTATATGTATATTAAACAACATACAGCATTGATGAAGTCATACTAAAATTAGAACTAGAGAGCACTCAGTAGAGCGCATACCTTCACCACACAACGCTGATCATATTCGGCCCTAAAAAAATACGAAAATGTGTCGTCATGAACGGAATGAGGATTAATATTCTAGATATTTCCACCAAAATCCGATAATTTTTGACCGAGTCATGGAGCAAAAATAGTGTGTAAAATCGGTCCCCATGTTAACAGAAAGGGATTTTTGGCACTCCAAAAACTAATCACTTCTAAGATGGATCAGATTCCAAATATACACCTGGAAAAAAGTTAAGCACCCCCGTGTTTTTTTCAAGTGATTCAGATTCGACGTTCTTGTGACAGATTACAAATTACCATTCAATCTAAACGTGTTTATCAAATGAAATTATGCATTATTGGGCACAAGAAAACAAGATTATCACCGTAAAATAACAATTTTTAATTTACATATCATGACATCAAAATATGGACAGTTTT